TTAAGTATCTAATATACAGAAATATTTATAATATACTATAAAATCTTACCAAAAATAACGTATACAATATACTGATTAGACATATAAAATCTATGTAAAATTACGTATATAATATACTGATTAGATGTATAAATTCCATATGTTTTTGCATACGGAAAAAGTCGATTTTCAGTATCTTGTATAGTGAAATATTTACAAATTTATTATATTGTTTGTCTACGTTTTTTATACGTTTTTTAAACATATTATTTTCGTATACTTTCCTTATACTAATTATTTATAGGGATAATGGATATTAAATTTATATTATGGATATGTATCCATGGATAATATGGATACACAAATCCAATACTACTGCAGCATTTTGATTTATTTAACGATCATCCTTATTGTTACGAATGTAAAATTACGAAGCTGTTAAATGCAATAAAATCTGCTACATTTTTGATTTATTTAACGAATGTTCTGATTGTTACTAATGTAAAATGTGAAGCTGTCAAACACATTTTTTTATTTGACGATATTCTTTTTGTTACGAATATAAAATTGCGGCTGTCTGCTGCATCAGAATTTACCGCATTTTTGATTTATTTAATGATCATAGTGAATGTAAAATTATCGTTACAGCGGAATCCGCTACATTTTAACGTATTTTACAGTAATTTTGCTATAAATTTTTTTCTATTATTAATAATTATTGGTTTTTCATTTCCTATATAAATCAACCTCAAGAAATTGTTTAATTCCATTCCTATTCTACTCAAAAAGTCATATTTTTCTTTAAATTTGTCTTTAGATCATTATTATTTTTTTTTTGTTATCTTAAAATAATGTCGCATTCTGAAAAAAAAACTGATAATAGTATATATTTAATTAATTTTTATATTTTAAAAGTGATATTTTATTAATTCATTTTATCGTTATAAAGAACGTTCAGGAAAATCATTCAAAAATGATAAATCAAAATACGAGTATTATAACAAAACTCAATTCATTAATTTCTGGCCAGAAAGTTCTTAAAGAGTATGTTTCAAAGATTGAAAAATTATTACAAGATAATGATAGTAAAGATAATCAAGTTAAAAAGACTAAAGAATTCATAAAGGTATTCACATGTAAATTAATTTCGAAAACTAATATATACTATATATTGCAAATTTACGCTAACTATTCTAATTATTAAACTTCTTAGAAAATTATTTCAAAGATTGCAAAAATCCTCCTAAATATGTCAATATATCTGACACAAGAAGAAATGAGAGAAACAACTGAAAAGTTCTTTACTGAAAAACACGAGGAATTTATTAGAAAATATAAAAGAAGAATAGATAGATAGTTTATTATAAAGGAGAAATTCATCAGAATGTAAAAAATGATTTTAAATCATTTATAAAAATTATAAATCAATCTCATCAATCTTTATTTTTAATAGCTAACAAATAAACTTTGAAGCTTCCGCAGGACATTAACGTTCAAGGTCAAAAAGGCGTTGTATTATGTTTTTGATAGTTACAATTTTACCTAAATTAATACCTGTGCAAAAGCTTCGCATATTCAACAATGAAAAAAAACCAACTGTTAGTAAATGCTTTACTGACCTTTTTAAAAGAGGAGAATCAGGTGGTTCGTTTATGAACCAGATCATTAATAAAATATAGTCTGGCAAAAAAAATATCCTTATATTAAAATCATGTTTGCAATTAGCACATGCGAAATATTTTTAGATTCTTCTAACCAAGATATAAAGATTTCTGAAAATCTTATGAAATCAAAAGTTTTACAAAATATGGTAAGTTTCATAAACTTTATAAACTTGCATAAAATTTAATGCATTTATTTATTTATTTATTATTATTATATTATTTAGCACAGAACTGAAAACTGGAATTCTGATGAAGATAATGATGATGATTCTTCTGATGAAATAAAGATAGAAGAAGAAGAAGAAAAAATAGATGAAATGGTAGAAAGTCGTGATGAAGGGAGTGAAAGAAGCAGAGATGAGATAGATAATGATGATAAATAACCATAGTGATGATTATTAAAAAAAATTGGCAAATTTTTTTTCCTTTCTTTATATATATTTAGTATAATTTTGCGTAAATACGTAAATAAATGATTTTTTTTTATATTTTATATATTTAAAGTAATTTTAGATTTTAAAATTAATTAATCAAAATTAAATGTGATCATATGATAATATATATATATATATAATATATATAAATAAACAAAAGAGGATTAACAATCCTTGCTCAGTAATTAAGCTATAAGCTCCTATTAAGCTAAAGTTTTATTATATAGCAATAGGCCATGATTCAGGTATCATGCAATACATAAAACTATATGATTTTCCATAAGGAATTTCTTTGTAACTGAACAAGTGAACGTATATACTAATATACATTAGATTCTAGTTGATCGATCCATTGATCAACATTGATCATGCCTAAATACTGCATGATGTAAGAACAAGTAGATGCAAATAAAGCCTGGGATCGATAAAAACTTGGTCTTCGCTGATTGGTCTATAATGGATACAGTCTTACGTCTCACATGACAGGAGCCCTTATTTTCATATATGATCATAAGATTGTATATATATTAAGGAAGTAATTGACCAGAAATTAGTAGATTAGATCAATGGTGATAATAGACTGCATTGCACGCTACAGCATCATCTAATCGAGCATATCATTAAGTTTAAGGTTAGGTTTGATTCCTAAGATATTTGTCGATATGGCAATATCATCATCCTGCTAGTTCACTGTTTAGACAAATCTTGTGATAATAATTCCATGAACCCTGTGGCATTAGTTAGGATAAGAGTATACTTTAGCAATATATATGATGTAATGGATTCCTCAGTCCTATAATGATATGTGGTCTTAGATAGCTGATAACCGGCAGGAGGTGTCAAATCTTCCTAATAGGCTTAATTCTAGCAACAGTATCACTAAGGGCGATGGCAATATCTGAGCCAATTCCAATGATGTAGGTTGCCAATAGAATCCTGAACTATACTAATATAACTCACATTTGAGTTTGCATAGAGTTTATATGTAAACTTTACCAAAAGTTACTTATTTTTACAAATTTACTTATCCTACATAATCTATTATCTTAATAACCAGTAATTCAATATTAATGTAATTTATACCATTGGATTCGTCTAACAGAGAGAAATCTAATAGTAGTAATTTCATCTTTTTAGCATTGATATTAATCAAGTTATACCATATAATATAATTTTGATTGTGTATTTGTATTACATTTGTGAGTTCTATTAGTATAGTTCGGGGGTCCTTTGCCAATAGCTGAAAAAAGATTGGCAGAGACTTAGGGGTGAGGCCGACTTACATAGGATACTTGAGATCCTTAATCTTAACGTCTCATCTAATATTACAAACTGAAAGAAAAAAAAAAAAAAAACAAAAAATAATAACTTTATTTTTTTCATTTCTCAACAAAATTTCTTATTAAAAATATTTGGTTATTTATTTAAAATGTATAATTTTTTCGTAAGTATGATGCATAACATCTATACTTATCAAAAATTTAACCTAAATTCAAATTGTATCTAATTTTTTAATTTTAATGTTATTGAAAAAATAAACCAATTTTTTTATAGTTTAGATTATGATCTTTTAAAAAATCAGTTTACATTTTAAATTAAATAATTATTTAAAAAGTTATCGGGATTTAAAAGTTGGGTATATTATTAGTAATTAGCTGATTTCGGACTGACTTTATATGGATATTTACAGGGGTATATTTGCAATCTGACCAATAAAAATGCGTGAAATTATTACGTGATAATTTCTTTTGATTGCTGCGTTATATAATTTAGCAGGTCTGAAAAAATTCATGTTCATATACTTTCCGATAATTAAATTATACTTTTTTATGATCAATGAATATTAGTATGATATATTTAATCACAGGTAAATATAATTAAACTATACTTTTTACGATCAATCAATGTTAGTATAATATATTTAATTAAATAAACTATGGTAAATATTGGTTATAAAGGTTATAAAGAAATTCATAAATACATAAAATAGATGATTTCAGAAATTCTCTTTCTAAATCTATAGAATTTTTGTCAATATTAATAAAGACGGTCAAAATGCCTGATCGCAAATTTTATTCGTATTCGCACTGTACCTAAAAATGTAACCACGTTTTAAATCATTAAAATTAATAAAATTAATTATGCGTTTTACATTAAACCATTATCTTGAACGCGTTTTAATTTTTTTATTGTATTAAAAATGCCACCTATTTCTAAGCAAAAAAGAAAATCAAAAACCAAAAACACACTCTTATGATGATGGTGGTTCATTTGGTCTTTATGGTAATGATGGTTCGTTTGGTCCTTATAGTGATGGTGGTTCGCCTGATCCTTATGGTGATGGTGATTCAATTGGTACTTCTGGTGATGGTGGTTTATTTGGTACTTCTAGTGATGGTGATTCGTCTAGTCCTTTTAATGATAGTGATGCATTTGGTTCTTATGGTGATGGTGGTTCATCTGATGCATCTAGTAATGGTGATTCGTCTGGTCCTTATGGTGATTGTGATTCAGCTGATCCTTTTGATAATAGTGATTCATTTGGTACTTCTGGTGATGGTAAGATTGCAGATGAAAGTAATATTAGTATAGATTTGGAATTATTTGGTGAAGAAGAATGGGATGATGATGAAGATAGTGGTTAGGATAATGATGATGAAGATGATATTACCAAAGAAATACAAAACTTAAAAAATAAAGAACTTAAATTAGTGTGAAAGGAAGAAAGTGAATTAGAAAAAATAAAATGTGGTCAGAAAGACTTCAAGATTAAGTTATTATGAAAAATATGGACCAATCAGTTCATTTACCAAGGCAGCTATTAATACTAAAAAAATTACAAGTTTTTTTAAAGTTGGTAATCAAGCTATAATTATATAATCTGATAAAATAGAGCAAATTTTAAGTAATTCGAAAGATGAAATCATTAATAAAGATACTTACTAAATTGATAAAAGAATATGAAGTCTAAAAGAATAATTAGAAAAGCAACATAATAAAATGACCATTATCAAATATAATAAAAAAAGAGCTATCTATGAATATCTTACCCACTTAAATAATGAAAAAATGCATGCTAGTTTAGAGGCAGCTAAAATCATTTTTGTTGATGGTGGTCTATAGAAAGTATAACGTATCCGATATAATGCAAATTATTAGTTATATAATAATGACCTTTTGGTATCTAAACGTGAAAAGCATCAAAAAACTATTAGATTAATTGATGATGAAGATATAGCTGAAAATGTCAAATTTGAGTTTACAAGCAAAATTTTAAGGCTACGCTAGCTACATTTAAAGAATTTGTTGAATAGAAGCTATTGTCTGATATCGGAATTACAAAAAAAAATCTATTTCTTTAATGATTGCAACAAGATTGCTTAATATTCTTAGTTATTCATTTCAACAACATCATCAAGGTATATATTACGACAGTCATGAACAATAGGGTTCCTCAAAATCAAATCAAATCAAATATTTAAGCAATTTGAATTTGATTTGATTTTTTCAAATCGAATCGA